TATATAGTGTTGAAGTATAAAAGAGAACAAGACAATCTATTTACAGATTATATACCATAGATAAATTCACATTAAGTTCTTCTAAAACTGAAATGGCTTTCATTGCCTTTTTATTTTCAAGTCCCTTAACTGTGGTGCTGTATATGTGAAGTTCCTTGCTGAAGTGGGTTATGTTTGGCTTGGAGTTTGACCACTTTTTCTTGTGAATGTGAAATTTCCCCAGGAGATGTAGAAGTTGGGTGAAATAGATCAAGTCTTTATGGGGAAACTGTGGCTGGGTGGCTAGAGCATTCGTCCTCCAATGTAAGAGTTGGGGGTTTGATTCCACCAGCAGTCACATGCTGAAGTGTCCCTGGACAAAACACTGAACCCCTCATTGCCTCCGGTGTGTGTCCCATCGGTGCATGAATGTGATCCAAAACACTGATTATTCTTTGTACAAAAATAGAGTGCTGTATGAATGGGTAAATGAGGGCACAGATTGTAGTGTAAAGTGCTTTGAGTATCTCGATAAGATAGAAAAGCGCTATATAAGTACAGTCCATTTTCCATCAAAGCATAGTAATAGTAATAGTAATGTCTTTCTGTAAGTTGAATTATTTGTCCAGTTTTCTGCTGTATAAGTTGTGGTGCTACCGTATTTTCCGCCGTACACGTCGCATCAATCCAAATATGTATGAAAAAGTGTAAAAATCCATAAATATGCTGCTTCGCTGTATATGTCGCATCTATTATGCGTCACCGCTGACGCATCGCGTTTGCTACGCGTCACCGATGACAACCCAGAAATGTGGGCCGGTGTTGCGCCAAAAATCGATGGGCTGCCAAATGGCGGCTGCTAGAGCATGCACGGGAGGACTTTAACAAGAGTTTAACAAGATTAACACTTAAAATTAATTATTTGTTTGCTCAAAATTATAGTAAATGTGTGTCTCAGTCTAACTTTTGCTTAAGAAATGCACTTTAATGGTCAAATTAGCTGCATATCGCCGGGGCGGTGCAACTGGTTTAAAGGTTGCTTCAAACAGCGAGCAGAACCAAGGTGGGGGGTATTATGGCAAGCCGATTGTGCCATTAATAGCTGGTGAAGATTCTCAGTCATCCAAGACATGGTAAATTCTAAAAATATTCAAGGAAAAAACAACAATAAAGTATAAAGTAAAGTATAATAAATAAAGTCCAGTTGTTTTTGTCTTGAACTGTTTTTATTTGTCATTACAGTCACGTTACCTATTACATGATACAACGGCATGCCATACTACTACTACTACTCTGCTGCCATCTAGTGGCTGAAAAAGGTACTGTTCAACTTTGTTTTCAGTTAGAATGAAAACGGTCATATCTCAGCCAAAAATTGGATTATAAATATGGGGAAAAAAATCCATAACTACGTCGCTTCGGCCTATAAGTTGCAGGGCATTCAAATTATGCAAAAAAAAAAAAACACCCCCCGCAACTTATAGGCCAAAAAATACGGTAAATAAACTGAATTGAATTAATAATAATAATAAGACATTTTATTTGTATAGCGCTTTTCTAAATAGTCAAAGACACTTTGAATTGTACATCTGTCCAGAATGCCATTATATGATTACATTAATAGAATAAATGAGAAATTGTTTCCATGTGTAGTTCACAGAATGTACAAGAATAGTCAGTATCAAGTTTAAATCTTTCCAGTGTTTTGTTAACAGGGTATACATTACATACATAAGAAGTGAGATTTCCTCTCCTGACCTGCGTGACGTCACGGCAGGCTGTCCTCTCTCCTCCCCCAAACATCGCCTGCATGTCTTCCACACGCTGATCTCATCAGGCCTTTGTTGGGAAACAAAAGAATGTTCAGGCATCTGTTTTCAGAAAAAACAAAGCCACAAGGTACAAAGACAGAGAAGAGGAAGTGAAGCTTTCTCTGATCAGAGAAAGTCTTTTGCAAAACTTATTTGGGCCTGCTTTTAGAATTCGATGAGCTCCTTTAAGCTCCTGAGATCTTGTTTCATTTATCTTTTAGTGCACGATTCCTGCGAACTTTAACCTTTGCCATCGAAGTTGTTTCAAGGTGGAGCTGGTATTTCCTGTATATCCTGCTCAGTCGGCTCCTGCTGCTTCTCTCTCAGTTATGTACTCTTTGTTGTTGTTTGGTCCTTCTGTTCTTCCTTGAAGGAAACAAAGTGCTATGCGTTGTCATCGTTGTATGTTTCCATACAATGACCAAGTTTGTGCTCTGACGTGGGAGGTGGGGCGTGGTGGGCAGCTGTGTAGGCACCCAGGGAGCAGTTAGGGATTGGGTGTCATCGTGCTCAAAAAGGAGCGTCACGACATGTGGGTATGGTGGGAAGTTGAACCTGCAATTTTCTAGTCCCAAGTCGGTTGCCCTACCTCAACACCACAGCGGCTCCAACTTACTGGTAACTTAACTTGTAGACAACTTAATTAAGATCACTTAGTTGTCCAGAAACTCATCTTCAACACAGTCTGAGCATTTACTTATCTTTGCCATGAAATATTACAGTCAACCTTGTCTGTCTGTTAGCAAAATATCTCATGAACTGCAGGACAGATTTTAATGAAACATTCAGGAAGGAACCACTGGATGTACAGCTACAGTTCTTTAACTTATGGAGTCAACCCAAATCAAGATGGCCGCCAGAGCTAATCGGACTTAGCTACCACAAAAATGGCTGAAACTCAGCTAATTATTCAGATATACGAGTAAAAGTTAGTATGGTAGTAGCTGAGTATCGCCCTCAACAAACTCTGAGTACTACACACTGCAATATTTTGACTGAAACTTGCTTGTACCTGTTGGTGTCAAACCCTGTTTGTCTGTTAGCAAAATATTTCACAAACCACTGGATGAATTTTTAACAAAATTTTCTAACATTGGATGTACCTCTACAATTCACTAACTTTAGGAGTAAACCCAACTCAAGCCTCCAGAGCTAATCGAACTTAGCCTACACAAAAATGTCCATAACTCGGTTAGTTTTACAGATACTGAGCTGAAGTGTGGTAGTAGCTGAGAGTCATCTTTAACACATGTTTTAAGGACTAACAGACCACAAGAATGCTGTAACTAGAGAAATTGCATTTTCTGCCAAAATGAAGTGTGACTACTTATTGCTGATTAACTTGCTGAAAAACAGCTGGAATTTGCTAAATAAACATGCTGAATTGTAGCTGAAATGAAAGAACAAGCAGAAACAGAAAGAACACATATTTGCTGAATTAGGTTTAAATAAGCAGAAATTAGAACAAAATGAAGAAATCAGCTAAAAAAGCTGAAATTAGCAAAAAATAGTTGAAAAGGTAGAAAGAAGCTTCAACTACCAGAAGGAAGCAGAAAAAGCTGAAATAAGCTAAAAAAAATGTAGAATTAGCTGCAAAGGCTAAAATTAGCATAAAACAGCTAGAGTAGCTGAAATGGTAGAAAAAAGCCAAATTAGCAGAATTAAAAAGCTGAAAGGAGCATAAAAATCTGAAATTACCATAAAGAAGTTGTTAATTACAAGAATTGTTTTCTTCTTTCTGCACCCTTTTCATTCAGTGTTTTTTTTTTCTTTTTGATGAATTTGTTTTGTTTATTTTAAATGAATGAATAAATGAATAAATAACAAAAGAGCTAATTAGGCTGAAAGTAGCAAAAGATTACCATGAAAAACTTGAATTTCTCTGAAAACAGCTGAAATTAGCTAAAAATGCTGAAAAAGTAGAACAAGGTTAAGTTAGCAGAAGAAAGCAGAGTTTGCCCAATTAGGCTGAAAGAAGCATAAATGAGCAGAAAAAAGCTGAAATTAGCATAAACAGTGCTAGTAGCTGAAATAGCAGAAAAAGCTGAAACTTGAATAAATAAGCTGAAAGGAGCACAATAAGATGAAATTAGTAGAAATAAGTTAAAAGAAGCACAAAAATGTTGTAGTTAGCAGAAATAATCTGAAAGGAGCACAAAACAGTTGGGGAAAAAAAAAAACAGCTGAATGTAGCTGAAAAAGTTTAAATTTGCACAGGGAAGCTGAAAGAAGCTGAACCAAAACAAAATGTGAAAGGAGCAGGTTGTAAACAGATCTAAAGATTTGAAGGATGTAAAATGAGCTCAATACATTTTCTATGAGGAAAATAATGTCAGAAAAGGCTAAATATTTCAAAAAGGCTAAATATTTCAAAAAGCTAAAGTTGCACCAGTACCAATTAGGTCTCATAAAAGGATTGTTCTGAAAGAGCTGAACGTTTTGATGATTAAATAGCTTGAAAACTGGGACGAGAATCGTGCTGAAAGACGTACGGGAAGAAACAATGGATCACAATAGTGTGAATGCTTCATAAAGGTTTGACCAAAAGAACAACAAGCATGATTTCTGATGATGATGGCATCATGGCGGCACCTGCCTCAGTCAGAGCAGAGGAGTAGAAACCGGAAGTGAAAGGGTTAAGTCTGACTCCGCGTGCACCGAGCGTCCCTCCTCCCTTCGCTTTTCCATCCATCCATTTTTTTTTTTTTTTTAAATTTTATTTTACTCTGTGTTGTCAGTGTGGTGCCATCTGCAGGACTCGGTTCCTGAATTTGCGACAACTTATATATAAAAAAAAAAAAAAAAAAACCTAACGGTAGAGTTGTGGCTCGTTTCATGTGCGAGCCGCAGTTCTCCCTCAGCTCCTCCCGGGTTTGTTATGTCGAGAGGGGGCTTCTCGTTTCACCTCAATCCGCCCCAACTTTGGGATCCCGCTGACGCGCTATGACCTGAAGGTAAGACGGAGGAGGAGAATGGAGGCGATTACTCGAGTCTTTTTGGACTCGGTCGGTGTTCTCTTCCAGTTTTAGCCGAACGTTTTGAACTTTTAATCGCCGAGCTGAGTCACCGTCACAAACGAGGCGGGTCGCTTCACTTGACGTAAAAATGGCACCAGCCGTCCTGGTTCGGGACAGAAAGGACGTCAGGGGAAATAAGTTACTTTATTATATTTAGTTTGTTTCACATATGTGCTGACATGTTCGTAAACGCACCTCATTGACGAGTCTGACTCGTTTGGGCACATGTTTAGTTAGATTTTATTTAGGAATGTGTTTGTGAGGACTGAATCGAAGGGCAATATTCAAGAACTTCAGACATTTGAAGTTTCGACTTAAAGGTAAACAGTTTTTTTTAAGCCACTTTTTCCACGTGTTTTGAGTTTCTCATGCATTCTGGAGGTCTTGGCTTGGTGTGTTTTATAAAGTAGAAGTCCTCCAACAGTCAATTTTAATTCTTGTGTACACAAAAGGGTAAAAATCTGGTCAAAGACACTCAAAAAAAAAAAAAAAAAAAAATCAGATCATTTAATCCACTCAAGTTACCAGCACCATATCAGCTACCCTCTTCTGTTTATCAGCTGTTGATGAACAGGAAGCAAACCGGGAAAAAAGGTCCCATTTAAGCCTTTCCTTGTATATCCCTGCAGTTTGTAAATGTTGAACTGGGCCTTGAGTTTTAGCCAAAAGCTACAAAAAACCTGACTCGTGTAAGTGCTTAAACTCTATTTACAGCCATCATACATCAGCAAAAGTAGCATGGATAGATACCATCTTTGATTCATCCTATACGCCCAAAGGTTTGATGTTTTTGTCCAAAATGACATTATTTTTTAATAACGCTAAAATATTCTTACACCCTTTTAGAAACTGTTTGGTTCCCAGATGGTAAAATGGTAAATGGACTGTACTTGTATAGTGCTTTTCTATCTAATCAAGCTACTCGTAGCACTTTACACTACAATCTGTGCCCTCATTTACCTCCACACACATTCATATACTGTATTATAGCGCTACATAGCTAATCTGGATCTGTAAACTAGTGCTTTTAGATCACGTTCATACACCGATGGCACACACATCAGAGGCAATGAGGGGTTCAGTGTCTTGCCCAGGGACATTTCAACATGTGACGGCTGGTGGAATTGAACCCACGCTCCCATTGTAGGACTACCGCTCTTACCACTCATCCACAGCTGCCCCCAGTTAGTCCAATCAGCTGCTTCTCCATTAGACCAAACAGTTGAATGTTCAAGGCAAAGTGGATCTTTGCTGTGGTTTTGTAATCAGTTCAGACTTACTGGAATGAGGAATCTAAGGTTTTCTGAGGCCATTCAAAGGTGAGACAAAGTTTTACAGCAGCAGGTTCTTTGGATGTCAATTGAATCTGTAACTAATGTTTGTGTTTATGCAAACATAAATTCTTGGAAACTGTTGACTTGGAAATTGTCAAGTCAGGAAAACAAAGCCCAGTTCTTTTGTGTCACTGCTTCTGGTGCTGAGATGTTTCTGTCTTCCTTCCAATTTCCAAACATTATTATTGAAACAAACTAACAGTAACTTATATGGGTTAAACTGTTCCTTGTTTTTCTCAGCAGGACCACACTTCTGGACATCACTGAAGTTGAATTGTACCTGACTGCATTTTTTTCCTGCTGATCTGAACTGAACTAACCACCTCGCCTGAGGCGAAGGTCTGGCCTGACTTCTTCTTTTTGCCACGCGTGAAAACCCCACCATCGTCATGCAGAGCTCATCCATCCGTCGTCAGGTGAAAAACATGGTCAACAATTTCACCGAGGCCGAGATTAAAGTTCGAGAAGCCACCTCGAACGACCCCTGGGGACCTCCCAGCACACTCATGGCCGAGATCGCAGACTTGACTTACAATGTGGTGACCTTCGCCGAGGTGATGGGAATCATCTGGAAAAGGCTGAACGATCATGGCAAAAACTGGCGTCATGTTTACAAGGCCCTCACGCTGCTGGACTATCTGGTGAAAATGGGCTCTGAGCGTGTGGCCAAATCCTCCCGAGACAACATATTTGCCATTCAAACGCTCAAAGACTTCCAGTACTTGGATCGAGACGGACGTGACCAAGGTGTCAATGTCCGAGAGAAGGCCAAACAATTGGTGGCTCTGTTGAAGGATGAGGAGAGGCTGAAGAAGGAGAGGAGCCACGCTTTGAAGACTAAATCTCGTTTGGGTGTGGGGAGTAATAGCAGCAGCAGCAGCAGCAGCATGGGGGTCAGCAGTAGCTCAACCTCTGGATACACAAGTTCTTCATACACAAGTCAGCAAGGCTTGGAGGATTTCAGTGTATGCAGAAACTCGTTGACAACCTACACCAGTGAGTAGCATGGTACTGTTACACAACTTAACAACACAAGCATTGTCATATCCAACAGTTGCATCAGTCACTTTGTTTTAACTTTTTAAAAATGTTTAATAAGCACTGATCTGAAAGATACCGGAGTGTTTCCTGGAGCATGTGACCTGTTATTGCTGAGGAATGCACAGGTGACAAGTCTCACCTTCATCTGATTAGCTATTATAAAAACATGGGGAAGAATGAAAGTAAAAGCAGAGTAAGTTAGATTTTCACTTAATGTCTGAACAGACAACTGGCAAATAATCAGAACTTTATTAGTGAGCATTTGTTCTTTGTACCGCTTTAGGAGCTTTGCCGTGAGTAAATTGCCTATAGATCCTTATACCAGAAGCATAATCCAACATTTAAACCTGACTAAATATAAAGTACACTTTCCTTGTGTTATGACTTAAATGTTTTAGTCTACCTCTCCGCTGACAGTCAGATATCTGCATTCCTTCCATTCTCCCCTGTAGTCCTGTCAGCTAAACTGGGTTTATATCAGAAAGAGGCCCAGCTCGTGTCACTCAGACTAATAGCCACAAGTGGAGACTTTTTGTGTTCAAAAAGCGTTCAATACAAGACTTACGAGACTTTTTGTGATTATTGAATTGCCTCTGCTACTGCAGCATGTAGTGACACAAAATAACTATCTAACCAGGTTGAGTCAAGTCCTCTGGACAGAAGAATAGAGGACCTGACTCATCCTTGTTGTTAGATTTATCTACCTGGATTATTGTGCATGCATCTCTCTCTGTTGAAACGTTTCATCTTTTATCCAAAGGACTTCTTCAGTCTAAGGAGCTGGACGCAAACGGTCATAAGCAATAGTGGATCAACCATTTTGCTGGTGACAGACAAAACTAGTTGTTCACATGTAATAGGAGGACCATCAGCCTAACAACTGATCGTTAGTGCCCTGATGGCCGCTTGCTATTCACAGAGGGCTGAGTGATACTAGCAATAACAGCATTGTAAGAGGGGGCCAGTTGAACACGGAGGCCACCGCCCCTGTTTAACAATCAACGAGTTCTCTTCACAAAGATGGCTTCCTTTACTCTTCTTTCTATCAAGGATGTGCACATCTTCATCCCTGAAAGAGTGACTGCTGGCCTGCAGATGAGTGTAGACTGCAGAGTCCTGGCCTGATGATGTTGATCTTCTGTGCTGGGCCATCCTTTTGGCCAGTGGCTGTTTAGTTTCTCCGCTGTACGACGGATCACAGCCCTCCTGACACTACACACAATATTACTCTGTTTGTGCCGGGGGACTGGGATGGACCAGGCTTTGCCGTAATGTATTTTGGAATTTGAAATCCACTGGGACGTCATGTTTAGAAAATAAACATCTCTGTTTTCTGAAACTCCCGCAACATACAGAACGACCACTGGTCCAGAGCTAGAACCCGTCCAGAAGACCTGGCTCAACTTTGTTGGGTATCTACTTGGATAACTGATCATGCATCAAGACAAAATAACTGTTCACTTGTAGAGTTCAGTGTTGTTGTACTTTAGTATAGCTCTGCCGCTTACTTCCAGTCCGATACATTTCAAGGGTACCTACCAATTCATCTCCACCCCTTTTTGTTAAGTCCTGGTTTCAGTTTAAGGAAGAAGGAAATTTGATTGTTTTTTTCCCTGTACCTTACACTTTTCATATCTCCAAGAGGTAAACAAACCATTACACGAGCCTAAGTTTGTATCATCAGTAGGATTAAGTAGCCAGACCGTTTTAAAATGTGTTGTCAGCTGGCAGCAGCACAGCTGTAGTTTGATAAAACATCTGCTTTTTAGATTCGCGTTGATTTCTTAGACTTGATTTGTTGAGGAAATGCAGGCTCACCCACAAATGCTGTCCAAAATTTTTATCACCACTGATGGTCAAAGCATCTTAATATTACTTGAATACATTTTATCATAAGATCACGTTTATGAAACTCTAGTAAGTCTTTTTTTCAAATGCTAATGTTTTTAAAGTGCTAAAGTCATGAATAAAATTTTTATGGGAAGTTCAAGAATTTAAATTGCTGTCTTTGTGAGCATATATTCATAAACAACAGTTTCCTTCTCTGTTCTGTGTGTCTTAATCGAAAAGTGGAAATAATAGCAGTCTCTTTGGCATTCAAGGACACCGGAGTGTGTAGACAGTTGGAACAAAATGCTGATGGATGGTGTAGGGGTTAGGAGGCTGGCAGCGGCTAATTTCCAGTGACTAGTCCAGCCTCTCTCGGAGGATATTGAGAGGCGGCACAGTGGAAGTGATTGGACTTTTTTAATATCTACGTAAGTTTGCCAACATGTGGCCTACTTTCCCTTTTTAGCCCAGTGATCTGCAGCCTGGCTCTCAGATTGGTATATTTCCACACTTCTTCATTTACTTCCCAAAACTTGAATGCATCCTGCTCCCAGAAGTTTCAAAGCATTATGTGGACCCCGCTCCAATGCATTCATTCCCCTACACACACTCCCCCACCACCACCAGCAGCAGCACGATCCACACAGCCGCTCCATTGTTCTCAATGCAGGCAAACTGTGGCAAGCCATGCCAGCAAAGGCCCTAAACAACAGGCAATAGGGCATTAACATGCAAAAAAAGTGCCAGCTCTTCCTGACCTTAAAAAAATATATAATCAACGTAGAATGTCTTTTTCTTTTTCTTTTTTTTCCTCCACCCTATTGCTCCCAATTCTTCCCCTAAACTCGCATCCCTGCGCTCTTTCTGTCCCTGTAGCCTCCTCTTCTCGACTCGCTCCGGACCTGGAACAAGCTATACCCGCCTCAACTGGAGAAGAGGAGCTGCAGCTGCAGCTGGCCCTGGCTATGAGCCGAGAAGAAAGTGAAAAGGTACCTCTAACGCAACACACACACAAGTACTTTTCCACTGTGCACAAACTGTCACTCGTCCAGCACATGAGCCCAACAGAAAGGTTTCTTGGCTGTGCTGCTGCTTACGTGTTCTGCTGTAGTCAAACATTAAACGACTTCCACCCACAGGCTCAGACTCTGTGAGATCCTGCCTGTCTTCAGTGGCACTGTTGCCCAGAGATGAAAGCGGTGTGCTTTTATGTTATCAATAACGCCCCCTTTGACCAATCAGTGTGAGTGATGCTGAATGAGTAAGCTGAGAGTGAAAGAGTGAGAAGGCAAACAGGATGTGTGCATCGATCCACTCCTGAACATCCATATTCTGCCCTGGACTTTATGACAGGGGCCTGTTTGAGGCTTCGGCTGAGCTGCTGCAGGAAAACTGGCATCCAAAACAGATTCTACATTTTTGTTTTAAATAAGCCAAGCTTATTTTAAACAGGAAAAAAAAAAGTATTTTCTGCCAAAATGCAGGGTGAATGCAGAGTGCTGAATAACTGTAAAAAAAATCTGTTAAAAAAGCTGAAACTGAATTGTCAAATTTAAAACAAACAGAACCAAAGCTACAATTAGCAAAACTGTACGTCCCTAAAAGGTAAAATTAGCAAAACTGTAATTAATGTAATTATTACTAGTAAAACGGTAATGAATGCCAAAACTAGAAAAATAGCTTCTTCTTTTGGCTTTTCCCTCTTCAGGAGTTACCACAGAGAGTCATCCTTCTCCATCTCACTTTGTCCTCTGTATAGAAAAATAGCTATAAGCTAAAATTAGCCAAAAAAAGTAGCTAAATGTTAAATTTAACTCAAGTCCCTAAAAGCTGTAATTAGCACAGTAGTAGCTAAAATGAGCTAAACCATAGCAAAAAGCCTAAATTTACAAAAATGTAGCGAAAAGTTACATTTTGCTCAATCATAGCTACAGCATCAGGAATAAAAGCATAAACACGAAACACAATCAGAAATAATGAAATACTAAATCAGATCAGACTGTGTTAAATGTCAGAGAGAGAGAGTCAGAGATTCTTTATTGTCATTCGCACCTCACGTGGTACATGTGGTGGAGCGAAATTATGTACACAGGGTCCCAGTTACATCCAACAATAAAATGTATAAGAAAAACAGTAATAACATCTAAGATATGAACTAAGAAAAACATCAACTAAATATACATTAAGCACTCATAACATAAAACATTGAACATCAGCACAAACATGAACATGAGTCTGTGTAAGCGGATGTGCACGCATGAACACATCAACAGTGAATACAGATGAGTTTTCAGGAGAGATTTAAAAGCAGAGACTGAAGTGACCTGTCTAATGTTAATGGGTTGTTCAAGAGTTTAGGGCCCATGACTGAAAAGGCTCAATATCCTCTGAGCTTCAACCTGGTTTTTGGTACAACCAAAAGCAGCTGGTCCGATGATCTCAAAGACTGAGAAGGAGCATAAGGATGAAGAAGGTCAGAAGTGTATGAGGATGCAAGGTCATTAATGTACTTAAATGTCAGCAGGATAGTTTAAAATCAATTCTGACCTGCACAGGAAGCCAGTGAAGGGCGAACAGAACCGGTGAGATGTTCTCAAACCTGCGAGTTCCTGTTAGTGGCCGAGCTGCAGCATTTTGGACGAACTGGAGATGTGAGAGGGAAGCCTGACTGACCCCAACATAAAGCGAGTTACAGTAGTCCAGCCAGGTTGTAATGAATGCACTGACTTAATTTTTCAAGGTCAGATCTGGTTAGTACGGACTTTTTAGCCATCTGCCATAGTTGAAAGAAGCTTTTTTTTTTTTTGAAGAACAGAGTTGAGCTGTTTATTAACCTTGAAATCCGTGTCTAAAACTATCCTGAGGTTGGTAACAGAATGCTTAGATATGGCTGAAGAGAGACCAGCTTTACAGGATCAGGGACAATGGTAGAGCTAGGGTTAAACATGATTACCTCAGTTTTCTGATCATTAAAACTTGAGAAGTTCGCAGCCATCCAAGTCTTGATGTCATCAAGACATTCCAGCAAAGGGCGAATGGTTAATCTCCAACTGTTGGGTTTCAAGGGCAGATAAATCTGAGAATCATCAGCATAACAATGAAAGGAAAGACCATGTTTCCTCAGGATAGACCCCAAGGAGAGCGGATACAATGAAAACAGAAGGGGTCCAAGAATGGAGCCTTGTGGAACCCCACAGGAAAGAGTCGCTGAAGCGAATAGACTATTACCAACATTAACACAAAAACTCCTGTCGCTCAGGTACGAACGGAACCATTGTAACACTGCACCCGTAATCCCAACCCACTGTTCTAACCGTGATAAAAGGATACTGTGGTCAACAGTGTCAAAAGCAGCTGTAAGGACGAGGAGTACCAGGATCACAAACTGACCAGAGTCATTTGCTAAAAGAATGTTGTTACAGACCCTTACTAAGGCTGTTTCAGTGCTGTGTAAATACTTAAAACCAAACTGAAAAACCTCAAGAATATAATTCAGTCAAGAACTTGTTTAATTGAATGAAAACTATTTTCTCCAAGATCTTAGAAAGAAAGGGAAGTTTGGAGATTGGTCTGAAGTTTGAGCAGGTTGAAGGGTCAAGTCCAGGACGTTTAATTAACGTAGTTACTACTACATGTTTAAAAACATTAGGAACCACACGTGTAGCCATGCTGCTGTTTATAATATCAAAAACAGAGGGTCCAATCGAGGGTAGGACTTGTTTAAAAAACGATGCAGGGATGGGATCAGCAGGGGACCCTAAGGGTTTCATATGACCAACGACAGCATTTAGAAATGAGAGGGAAATGGGTTCAAACTGACATGACTGTCGGCGAGGGAGATGGTGGGCTTTGGAGGAGAGGGCGTGCCCCAGAGTCCATCTTGGCACCAACACAACTGTTTTTTTTCCACTTTGGAGTATGCTGTTGTTGGTGGAGAATCGGTTTTGTTTGATTGTTCCTCGGACTGAAGAAGTCCGTTGGATGATGGACGAAATGTCTCAGCACAAAAAAAGAAACCGTGCAGATGACCTGACTGAACATTGTTGGATTTTATACCTGGATTATTGAGCATGAATTTTGGTAGGTTCAAACTTGTTAAAGACTGCTGAGCATGGGACAAAGACAGAGGGGTCAGCTGTGGTGTGAGGGATCAATGATCTAATCGACTCAACCTTTTTAACAAAGAATCTGAGAAAGTCGTTACTAGTATCTGCAGAGGCCTCCATGTTGGCAGACTGAGGCACGGTTAAAATGGAGTTAATGGTGTTGAAAAGAACATGGGGATTGTTGCTGTTTAAAACAATGATTTGGGAGAAGTACTTGTTTTTTTCCGTTTTAACGGTAGCCTGATAGTCTTTGTAACACGTTTTTAGCATGATAAGAAACCTGAAGTTTGTCCTTCTTCCATTTACGTTCTGCTTTCCTGCATTGTTGTATGGCTGCTCTGGTGAACATGTTCAACCAAGGGTGTGGTGCGTGCTTTGGTTGCCTGATTTTCAACGAGGCAACTAAGTCCAGCACCTTAACACAGGTCTCCTGATGTGCAGTGACTAGCTTGTGGGTGTTGATGTAAACAGAGGAATCAGAGACCGAGACAGAGTTGTTAGTAAAAGCAGAGTAGAAGAGTACAGCAGGTATTTTACGTATAATCATTACTAATAATAAGTCCCGTCTCCTAAATGAGCTGAATATTTTGATACCAACTGATTAAAGTTGCTGAATGCATGCTGAAGTAGTTCGATGCCAAGATTGTGGATGAAACTATTATTATTAACATTTATTTAACCAGAAAAATTCTATTGCAATCACAGATCTCTATTGCAAGGGAGGCCTGAGCCTGAAGGCAGCCTAATATGCATGTTTTTGGTTGGTGGGAGGAAACCAGGAGTATCCAGAGAAAACCCACGCAAGCACAAGAAGAACATGCAAATTCCACACAGAAAGATCCCAGGTCCAACCGGGGATTGAACCCAGTACCTTCTTGCTGTGAGGCAACAGTGCTAACCACTGAGCCATCATGCTGCCTATATAACTACAAACCGGATTCCAAAAAAGTTGGGACACTAAACAAACTGTGAATAAAAACTGAATGCAATGATGTGGAGATGGCAAATGTCTATTTTATTCGTAATATAACATAGATGGCAGATCAAAAGTTTAATCTGAATAAATGTAACATTTTGAAGGAAAAATATGTTGATTCAAAATTTCACAGTGTCAACAAATCCCAAAAAAGTTGGGACAAGTAGCAATAAGTGGCTGGAAAAAGGAAATAGAGCATATAACGAACAGCTGGAAGACCAATTAACACTAATTAGGTCAACTGACAACATGATTGGGTATAAAAAGAGCTTCTCAGAGTGTCAGTGTCTCTCAGAAGCCAATATGGCAAGAGGATCACCAATTCCACCATTGTTGCGCAGAAAGATAGTGCAGCAATACCAGAATGGTGTTACCCAGCGTAAAATAGCAAAGACTTAGTTATCATCATCAACCGTGCATAACATCATCAAAAGATTCAGAGAATCTGGAACAATCGCTGTGCGTAAGGGTCAAGGCCGTAAAACTCTACTGGATGCTCGTGATCTCCGGGCCCTTAAACGTCACTGCACCTCAAACAGGAATGCCACTGTCAAGGAAATAACAGAATGAACTCAGGAATACTTCCAGAAAGCATTGTCAGTGAACACAATCCACCGTGCCATCCGCCGTTGCCAGCTGAAACTCTACAGTGCAAAGAGGAAGCCATTTCTAAGCAAGCTCCACAAGCTGAGACGTTTGCACTGGGCAAGGGGTCATTTAAAATGGAGTGTGGCAAAATGGAAGACTGTTCTGTGGTCAGATGAGTCACGATTTGAAGTTCTTTATGGAACACTGGGACGCCATGTCATCCGGACCAGAGAGGACAAGGATAGCCCAAGTTGTTATCAACGCTCCGTTCAGAAGCCTGCATCACTGATGGTATGGGGTTGCATGAGCGCTTGTGGCATGGGCAGCTTGCATGTCTGGAAAGGCACCATTAATGCAGAGAACTATGTTCAGGTTCTAGAACAACATATGCTCCCATCTAGACGTCATCTCTTTCAGGGAAGACCCTGCATTTTTCAACACGATAATGCCAGACCACATTCTGCAGCAATCACAACATCATGGCTACGTAAGAGAAGGATCCGGGTACTGAAATGGCCAGCCTGCAGTCCAGATCTTTCACCTATACAGAACATTTGGTGCGTCATAAAAAGGAAGGTGCGACAAAGAAGGCCCAAAACGATTGAACAGTTAAGAGGCCTGTATTAGACATGAATGGGAAAGCATTCCTATTTCTAAACTTGAGAAACTGGTCTCCTCTGTCCCCAGACGTCTGTTGAGTGTTGTAAGAAGAAGGGGGGACGCCACACAGTGGTAAAAATGGACTAGTCCCAACTTTTTTGGGATTTGTTGATGCCATGAAATCTGGAAACAACAGATTTTTCCCTTAAAATGATACATTCTCTCAGTTTAAACCTTTGATCTGTGATTTGTGTTCTATTCTGAATAAAATATTAGATGTTGGCACGTCCACATCATTGCATTCAGTTTTTATTCACAATTTGTTTAATGTCCCAACTTTTTTGGAATCCCGTTTGTATATTATATTACTATTAAAAAGGAAAATGATGGTACAAAAACTAGTCGCACAAAAAGAAACCAATTGGCATCTCTGTGCTAGACCTCGGCTTTAAATGACTTGATAATTGTTTGATTCCACACTGACTCACTGCAGCAAAAATCAAGCATGCTCTGAACATGACCCTTTGGTTAGGCTTCCTCCTAATGCTTCCTGCTTGACTCTTAGCTGCCTCCCAAAGTGGATATGGATGAAAGGACTCAGCTCAAGATGGCTATGGATCTCAGCAAGAAGGAGTCCCACAAGGTGAAAGTAAGTTTGGACAAGAGAAGAGCCTTCTTTGGCATCTTCTGCCCTGCAGCATATCGTCTGTTGCTCTACACACTAAACAAAATAAATCTGCCAGTCCGGGTTGTTTCTTTTCAAGAGTCAACTTCATTCACTTCTCCATTTTCCTCCCTTCTAGATTGAATTTATAATCTTCATCCCTTTTTCATCTAGAAAAGGACATCTTCATAACCAACTACGTCTTCATCTTTGTGTTACACTAACCACTAGCCTTCCTTTTATTCCAGCTGGTTGATGTTCACATCCTGAACACTTTGGGATGGTTTGAATGGACTGACCTCTTCACTTTTATTGGGATGAATTAAAGAACTGCATGAATTGTGAGGAAACCCAAGCTTTATTTTTTTAAATTGAACATCACCTAATCATATTCCCTCTTTGCTTATTCCCTCACAGCCAGTCAAACAGGTACCTCCTGCCCCCCTGGACATGGATGAAGATGCCCAGCTCCAGTTAGCGCTTAGCCTGAGCAAGGAGGAGCACAAGCAGGTAGTCTTTGTAGCTGTGGAATTGCTACAGGGGGCAAGTTTTAAAAACACAATATGAATAATTTGCATCTTCGTTTGACAAGTAGCATGTTAAAGCTATAGTTATGCATAATCATCCTGTGTAATATATATATAGATGGATGGATGGATGGATAGAAACTTTTTTAAACTGTATAAAATCAAGATTTGCCTGAACATACTGGTGAGAATTTGACTTGTTTGATTTTTTTTTTTTTTGCACTGGTTTTTTTTTAAAGAATTAATTTTCCTGCTTAATTTTCTCCACTTAAAAAAAAACAAAAAACCTTTTACTATAATTTTTTATGTTATTCTTGCAGCCGGTGCACCTCCCCACTGTCTAAATCTGTTTCTTTGTCTATTCGCTCCCTTTTTACCTTTGTGCTAAAGTATGCTATAGCACAATAGAACTGCCCTGTTACAATGATGCTTTTTCTCTCTCTTTGGCCAGAGAATGTTCTGGTTTGTCCCAACTGAGTGCAAGTGTAACCATGGGATGATGGAGTTCTGAACATAGATATTTGGGCTGCAGCAGGGCCATAAATAACGTATAATGGGCAATATATGTATTTTTGCCCAAAGTGTCTCAGAGGCATCTATATATCTTTATCTGTTTACAGGAACAACTCAGTCGCCAAGGGAATGAGTCAGAGCTTCGAAAAGCTCTGGAGGAGAGTAAACGTGAAATGGAGGGAAAAGGCGGGGTATGTGTAAGCTTGTGTACAAATCACCAACCAAAATAAAAGTTCAAAGTAAACCAGCTTTATACTGATTGAGCAGCATCAACTGTCAGACATTAATGACTGTAAATGGAAACATTATGACGTGCTCACTTAAAATGAAATGCTAAGCTAACACAAATTTATTTTGTTTATTTGCTCAGTCTGCCTTTATGGACCTGGTAGATGTTTTTGCAGTGCCTACAGATGCGCCCCCTATTGATGGTCGCTGGAATAATACTGCCCCCCGGGCAGCAGCTGGCGCTGGGGGGACAGACCCCTGGGACTCCCTGGGTGAGTCTTGAGTTGACAAATTGATACAGTTCAAGCACTTGGTAGTTAAGCATGTTATAGTGAATTATTATGGATAAGTGTAACATGATAAATTGAACAATTTATTTGTATTAAAAATGGTATTTTTTCGAATGAAGACAACACTCAGAGGGCTGATTCTTCCTGGATGGTGCCCCCACCTTCCCACAGCCCCCCACCACCATGGGAGCCTCCATCTAATTCTTGGATTGCAGCACAAAATGATGTCTCCACCCTCAACCCTGCAGGCCGAGATTTGGCTTTTGCTGGAGTGTCAGGTGGGTGTTGGTCCTCACAAGCACTCATAAATGCAACTAAATGTTTTTAAGGAATTAAATTCTGTCTCCTTTTGGTTTATAAATGACTTCCTCCATAGTTGATCCATTTTCAGCTCCATCAGAAAGAACAGCAGCTAGAGGAGCTGCCAGTAACTTTCCACCTGAAAACCTATCAGGTAAAGAGTTTAAATTACCAGATCTGCATCAGGTTTTGGTGCTTACAACATCCTTACAATCGTCTTTACTCTCTTCTGCTAGATGGGGATTTTTTTGATGAGGCTATGGATGGTGGCAACACTGGTATTAATGGACGAAGGGTGGACAGTCCTGACCTCTATGAACTGACTAGTCTTAGAGAGAGCCTAGTTAACCCTACCCCTCGCACATGTAAGACACCCGAGGCCTTCCTGGGGCCCTCAGCAGCTTCCCTGGTAAACTTGGACACCTTGATTCCGACAAACCCTGCAGCCAAGACCACAAACCCCTTTTTGTCAGGTATTTATTGCAATATTTGCAGAATATGCCACAGCTATTTTGTCCAAAACTGTGTCAAATTATTTATTTAGATAAGGTTAATACTAAGATTGTATGTTTCTATTCTATTTTTCTTTCTGATTTAGGAATGAGTGCACCTTTATCCGCTAATCCATTCCAAAGTGAGCCGCAAAAGCCCAGCCTGAACGAGATGGCCTCTGCCCCTGCAGCTCCCCACACCACTTCTCTTCCATACAGTGCCTCTTTGCCCCTGCCTATGAGCCATCAGGGTGCCACCATCCCTTCATCAGTCACTCACCCTACTCATCCAAGTCTGGACCTGCCAGGGAAGCTCCCTGAACCCTTGTTGCCCTTCTCCTCAGCCATCAACCAGGAATCGCATGAGAGCAACCAGAACCCTTTCTTATAAGGACCATCTGAACAGGACAAACATGGTATCAAAATAGAGAAAATACCATTAGGTTATGCTTGTGGAATAACGCTCTTTCTGCAAACCAAACTACAACCCAAAAGACTTGTATGAAAAGCCTAAAAAGTTTTTGTTATAATGTTGGATAGATGCTTCTCTTGTTGCAAGCTGGTTCTGCTACTTCCAATAAGCTTGAAAGGAGATTACAAATTTTTATCAGAAAATTTAAGTGTAACGTAAAACCTCTTTAAGGCCATAATCTGTTGCTCACTGACTACAAATGCAAACTACACAAAAGCACATTTTGATAATACTTTTGTTGTACATGGACTCATCGGTGAGAACCAGTCGGATGCCTCTGGTTTTTGGTAATTGGGAACATTTACTATAAACAAAATTGTTCAGTGCCTGAAATGTTCCTGCATCAACACACTTAACTGCTACGCTTCTGTGGATCAGGATTTATTAGATTTATACGTGTGTATGGAATTAAATGCAAAATGAAATTACAGAATGAATTTACACATTATGCATCAGAATATGCAACGTTTGCAATGTAAATCTGGATTTTATCCATTGCTTGTGAAAAGTCCCATCTGATCTAATACGGCAGTGTATTTAAAACATTGTCATTCTTTAGATGTTTATTTTAAATTCCTTAGAGATAAATCCAAATGAATTTATTTTACTGCATCAGAATCCATAATAAAATGATGAAATATAAATGATACAAAATAAAATTAAAATAAAAACAACACTGGTTATGATGACATACAAAGGTGCACTTCATTGTTGCGGGGGTGAGTTATACAACTTTGTTGGCTTCTAATTGTGTATTTTTCCCCCTTTTTTAAATGTGACTCTGTTACACTTTTCATTGTTGTGCATCCAAGTTTGCAGAAGTTCCTTCTCCAACAGCTGATGTGCTTTTCAGTTTTTCAATAACAAAACTGACACCTCAAATTAAGTTTTCTGTACCAAACACTTTTTTTTCTCCAATGGTAATCCAACCTGAAATATTTAAATTTTAAACTTATTTATTGTGAAAAAGGAGGACAGATTCTAGCAGAGGGGGAGTCACCTGCTCTTAACCAATCATCACTCCTCACAAATCATGTGTCACCTGATCCCTCTAATTAACCCGATCAGAAGCGGAGTGGAGCGAGTCACGACTTCCTGTTTTTAGCCAAGTCTTCTAAATAATGTAATTTATTATTGACCATAGCTTACAATGGTGACACTGATGCTGAGTACCAGCAGGATTGAGAAGTGGTGATGTGCTCTGATGGAAATGTAGAAGTGCCAGTACCGAGTACAAGAGTACCAACTACGTTGAGCACTGACTGACAATACTGTCTTGTCCAAAAGTAAAAAAAAAAAAAAGGTTAAAAACAGAACAACTGGACTTTATTCTGAAGCTAAAGAGGTTTTGCTTCCCACCCAGAAGGAATTATCCATTCAAAAATTGGATTTTTGAATTTTGAGTCTTCACACTTGTCCAAAAATCTTCTCAAGACTTTTGAGGGAAACATCACCATTAAAAGAACAAATGCATATCATTTGACTGTGACAGTTTCCAGCCAGCTCAACACCTCTTGCAGTCCCTGTCCTGAGCGGGCACTAACTTCCAGTGTTGTAATGGGCTGAGGAGCAGACGCAATGATGTCATCCATCCTGAACAGTGACTTGATCTCTGTAAGGCTCATGGTGCACGGCATGTCCCTAGGAAAGATTAAAGCAATAAATCAGTGGGGTGGAACATAAGCATGTATTTTTCTCTCTTTGGGCCACAAAATTGTGACACTGGATGCATTTATTTAATTTCACCAAGTTCCATTGTAGGAATTTATGTTTATGATGGGAGTCTCACCTCTTGTTAAAGAGAACGAGCACAGAAGTGTTGTGCAGAGGCTCGGCAGAGAGCACAGACAGCAGCTGGATGCAGGAGGAAGATATCTGAACAATGTTGGCTGAATCCACCACAAACTATGAAGAAAACAAACGTTTGGTTAAACCAATTTGTTCAATTCATTCAACCTTTATTTATACAGGTTAGTCTCAATGATAATAAATGCAGCACATTTGAAAAGGTCATACAATGACAGATGAGCAGTCTTCAAAGTAACTGGGCCATATAGGGCCCATGCAGCCTCCCAGCTCCCTCACTGTAACCTTCTTCTTCTTCTTCTTCTTCAGGGTAAGGTCCGTCAGATTTGTCCCAACCTGTAGAAGAATAACCCAACCTGTCACCCCCAAAACAAGCCTGTTAGCTTTAAAATGTAACTGTGTAGTTCTTACTGTGGGCAGAGTGGAGGGAGGCGAGTCTATTTCACCGTGCAAACTAAGCAGTTAAAAACAATCTGTAAGGAAACAACCAAGATAGCTTTTTGTTGTGGCTTCATTTTAATTTTAAAGGGAACTGTTAACTTGTTTAAAATGTTAAACGGCACAAGAGTATCGATTTCAAGTTAAGCAACGTCAAAAGAATGTAAAGCTGGGCTGACATGTTGGTTATCAAGTCACAGAGAAAGATGCTTAAGCTAACTTCGTATCTTCACAGAACCCTATTAGCTTGTTACGCTAGCAAGTACAAATGACTTTCTCAGCTCTTGCTCAAAACAACCAAACGACTAAAAAGGATATGTTGTAGACGTTTGAGTAATAAAGTTTTTCCTACACCAGTTGCTCCAAGAACTAAACATGCTTCTTTACTGCTCATTTCACATTTTCCAGCACAAACAAACGAAGCTAAAGCTTGTGCACACGAAGCAGCCTCACTTGACGCCATGGCGACGGTCACGTGACAACAAACTTGCCAGCTATAGGTCAAAACAAAGATCAATCATTCAGGACCTGCTTCTGATTGGTTACTAGATAAAGCGGAAACAAAACAGCGGAAAGTTACAAAACATCAACAAGAATCGTCGTTGGGTCGCGCGACAGAATCTGTCGTGAACTTTGGAATCTGCTTTGTAACAATGCGTTGATTATTAGATCTTTAATTTTACTAGAGAGATCAACATGGAGGCGAAGTTAAAGAAAGAGTTGGGGACAACCATGCTAAAAGCTGCAGGCCACGCTGGAGGTGGATGTATTAGCCAGGGCCAGAGTTTTGATATTGACACTGGGAGAGTGTTTGTGAAGATGAATCACAAGAGTGAGGTATTTTGTTTATGTATTACTTCTGTTTTATCAGGTTAGAGCAATATTTTCTAAAATTCCAGCTAGTAAACCTGAATCCATTGCAACCTGTTTGCTGTTTTCTTTAACAACACATTTAGTTAAGTTTTACATTTATCAACAGGTCAGAAACAGATTTTTATTGTTGTAATTTCAGGCCAAACTGATGTTTGATGGAGAGATGGCAAGCTTGGAAGCCATTTTAAAGACGGAGACTATTAAAGTCCCTAAACCTGTGAAGGTGATTAAGCTTGACACCGGAGAATGTGTATTTGTCATGGAATATCTGGACATGAAAGGCCTTTGCAAGTAAGATCTGTCCTTAAATTTCACTTTCTATCTTTATAGTTTATGGCAGATTTTTGTCATGTTTTCTTCTTATGATCATCTGTTTTCTTTCAAATCTATTGAGTAGGTTCTCAAAAAAGCTAGGAGAGCAGCTGGCAGATCTGCATCTTCACAACAAAAGACAAATGGAAAAACAAGAAAGAGAACAGCAGACAGTAGGTAATCTCGCCTCTACTTGGATGCAAATTTTAACCCCACACATAAATGCATTTTTTATTTTTTGTTACTGAAATGTTGCTTTTTGATTTTTAAATGAGTTGCTTTTGTATGTGACTTTTTATTCAGGTAGAGGAGCTGGACAGTCTGAGGCAGCTGTTGTTGAGAAGTTTGGTTTTGGTGTAACCACATGCTGTGGATATTTACCACAGGTAAAATGTAAAATAAATAAATATGAATAATAATTTAATTAATTAGTAATTTAACAAAGAAAAGGCAAACAAACCTATAGTATGTATACTTGGTCTTTGTACCTTCAAATATGAGTCAAAATGTTTTAAAAAAAATAATTGTACCTCTTCAGGAGAATGAGTGGCAGAATGACTGGGTGTCATTTTACTCCCAGCATCGGCTACAGCACCAACTTAACTTGGTGGAGAAATCGTACGGAGACAGGGAGACCAGGGAACTATGGGCAAAGCTGCAGGTGCCATTTTATTTTAGATCTGTTCATGAATTTTAGATAAATACCAATAACTATCTCAGTAATCCAACATGTTTTGTCTGTCCATTACAGATTAAAATTCCTCAGTTTTTCACAGATGTGGAGATTTTTCCTGCTCTCCTGCATGGAGACTTGTGGGGAGGCAATGTAGCAGAGTGTGCAGAGGGCCCTGTCATCTTCGACCCTGCTTCCTTCTACGGCCATACAGAGTATGAGCTTGGTATTGCCAAGTTGTTTGGTGGCTTTAACAGCTCTTTTTACTCTGCTTACCATGATAAGATTCCTCAAGCTCCAGGCTTTGAAAAGAGAAACCAGCTTTATCAACTTTTCCACAACCTAAATCACTGGAATCACTTTGGCAGTGGCTACAGAGGCTCAACAGTTAGAATTATGAAGAATTTACTCAAATAGACACTAACAGAATGCTCTGTGGTCTTGTTCCCAAGTCACATTTCATGATAGCATGAGTATTAATGTCATACAGCATGGCATACTTTGTTGGTTTACTAAATCATGCCGTGTTACTCTAAATCCTGTGTGTTAGAGCTTTATAAACTAATATCTGCACAAATGATAATGGATGGGTTGTCAGATTGTCTACTGCTAAACTAATAATAAATTCTGCAGTGATTCAAATGTTTTGTCGGAATCATCTGTTTTTATGCCTTTTTTTTAAAAAAAGCAGGCCTAATTAAAAACCTTGGGTACAATTTTAAAACCTCTATATTCAAATGTTTTTATACAGTAGCTACTTGCAATAGCAGAATTATATGCAGTGCATATATAAAAATGTATATTTCTGTATGTTTTCAGAAAATTGTTTTGATAACAAAATTAGGAAACTTGTGTTTTAGTTTCTAGAATTTCTTCAATCCACACAGATGTTTCGCCACATGCACCGATCCATGTCGTCATCTTCTTTTTCTTCTGGCTTTTCCCTCTTCAGGGAATTTTGTTCTTACAAAATTGGGCACCAGCACACTTCTTCATTCCTCAGGCATTTTCTTACCCTCAAATATGCCGTTGAATATGAGTCAAAAACCTCACTGCCATCTCTGCAAGACATTTCCAAACCTCCACTGGTATGTCATCAGGTCCTACTGCCTTTCCTTTCTTCATTCTTTTGTGAGCTTTCTGGATTTCACCCTCACTAATCTTTCCCACTTCCTGGTCCACAGTGTCTATGACCTCTACACTTCTTTCCCTTTCATTCTCTTCATTCATTAGCTGCTCAAAATACTCCTTCCATCTTTCCATCACACTCTCTTCACTTGTTAGAACATTGTCATTTCTATCTTTAACAAGCCTAACCTGCTGCACATACTTTTCAACTTTATCCCTCTGTTTTGCCAATCAGTGCAAGTCCTTCTCACACTCTTTAGTGCCCAGCCTCCCATATAACTCATCGTACGCCTTCTGCTTTACCTTAGTTACCTCCCTCTTTGCTCAATATTCCATCTCCTTATATTACTGTCTACTCTCTTCAATCCTCTCACTGTCATATTTCTTCTTGGCTAGCCACTTCTTCTGAATAGCTTCATGCACTTCACTATTCCACCACTAGGTTTCCTTATCATCTTTTCTCTGTCCAGATGACACACCAAGTACCTATCTGTCTCTCTCATTACTGTTGCTGTAGTAGCCAGTCATCTGGAAGCTGTGTATTACCACCCAGAGCCTTCTGAACTCCTCACAACATACTTCTTTCCTCAGTATTCAGTGACCTGAGAGGACTTCTGGTGCTATATAAATGAACTGAACTGAATTGAACTATTTGGTCGTCTTCTCTGATTTCCCTTGGGGACATTTTCTCCGGGGGTTGGGGGTGGGGTGTCCGAAATTTTTGAATAAAGTAGATGTGATTTCCTGCATTTTGGTGTATTTTAACAACTTGTTAAACATCTATTTTTACATACACTTGTAAACACTCCGCTTCTGTCAAGATCCTCCTCCCCCTTACTTGATGGAACTGTCAAGAAAGAACGAGCCCAACACTGTCCCTGTTCGTTGTTGTCCAACTTCACATGTGAAACCTCCAGGCCCCTGCCTGCAGCTGCCTGTGAGCTCCTGCTCGCATATGACTACCTGGTTAGCTCGGCACTCACCCCCACCACTCTTTTTAGGGTCGGAGATTATTTTAAGGGTAGACGCGGAAATGCTACTTGAGTCAGGTCGTATGCTCACAAGTGACTGTTGTGTTTAAAATGAGTGTTTATGTAATTATTTTCAGTTTACATATCCAATATTAAGTTTAATTCATTCAAGGCAGTCATATTTGTTCATAACTTTATTATTAGTAAGCCTGAGATTTACCGGATCCAAGCAAACGGTTACCGGAACACACCCTGTCAAAATAAGACCGTTCCCGGATCCTGTTCTGGCAGGATTTGGCTCAAATTAAGCAGTGCTGACAATATTTGGCATTAAACTTTCTATTTCTACTTTTAGACACATCACCCTATCCGACACTCTTCACCTCTATTACAGTCTTTGCTAACTCCTCCTTTAGCATCACCCTACTTCATTTTTTTTCTATCTACACCATGGTAAAACCCCGCCCCAATGATGTGAGCATTACTGCCCTTCCACTTAGCCTCTAGAACACATAAAGCATCTACCTTCCTTCTCTGCATCATACCAGCCAGCTCTCTACTGCCTGTCATTATCCCCACATTTAGAGTTGCCACCTTCAGTCCTACATTCTTGACTTTCCTCTTCTCCCTCTGTCTTCTGACACATTTTCCTCTTTGTGGTCTACTAACAGTAGCACAATTTACACTCTCATCCTGTTTATCAACAGCACCAGTGGTGGTCATTTTTAACCAATCTGGTATGGTGTCGCTTAGATGAACTTGCATATTAGTTTTGGCAAAAGTGTTTTCCGTTGGATGCCCTCCCTGACACAACCCTTACCATTTACCTAGGCTTTGGACAGGCACAAGAGATAGACTGGCTTGTGCTCCCTACAGTGGCTGGTATTAAAAGAAAGTCCTGCATCAGCTACCATTGTACATGTTGCTGCAAGATGTAGCTGTTCGTCCTATTCCTCTGTGACCACGTGCTGGTTGCGTTTTTTAAAAATTTGCTCAATTATGAAACTGCTCTTCTTAAACTGCATTTTTATTGATGTTTTTCAGAACCACACTTGTCTTGGGAAATTGTGTTATATTCTATTTAGTGAACTCAGTTCTTGAACTTTACATGCAAGGAAATAAAAAAAAAAACGGTAGCAGCAAATAATTAAAATGTTCATTCATTTTGATAGAAAAATTCTGATGATATAAAATGTGTTTTATATAAAACTAAATAACGTGCATATTATAAATGCTTGAAAATGAAGGAAGAATCCGAGCCCTCTTTATAGGGCTCTGGGAAGAATAAGCCACAAAAAAGCAGGTTGTTGATGTCTGGTTGAACAGAGGCAGAGCTCATCTGAACCATTTCGCTTCCCGTAGTGAGGCGGGGCACGCGAGTTACAGCCGCAGAGCAGATTAGCATCGTTAGAGCTAACAATAACTATTTCATAAAGTGAAGATCACACGAGCGCATTTTCTATCTTTATATTTACTCCAGGCTTTATACCAATCTTGTTTTTATGTTTTTTTTCTTGTTCTGCCGCTTCCTAGTAGTTTGTTTGCTTAACATAAATGCTAATGTTAGCTAGCTTTTAAAAATATTAATGTTAGCATCTGATACAAAACCGGTTTCTGTGGTTTAAAGCTGTCCAGAAAAAAAAATATCTGTTAGAATGGCCTCATCGGATAAAGACAATGGTTGGTTTGGTGGAGAAGAAGAAGGAGAGGAAGACGCAACTGTGAAATCGTGTTTTTTGAGTGACTTCAGTGAGAGCAGCGAAACCACATCCCTCATCTCCAGCCTCCCAGATGTCCTCGAGGACCAGAGGACCACCGAGATCACCATTCAGAAATTCTTAGGTTCTGCAGTTTAAATCAGATATTTTAAGCTCGCACTGTATTTGTGGCTTTAATGTGCACGCAGTTAGTGACAGTTTGTATGTTTTTCTTTTTCAGTGATTATGAATCAATATCAAGAGCAGCCTCATCTGCTGGATCCACATCTAGGTACACTATGTTCAATACTAATCATCATAAGTCACTTTGAGGCTAAATAAGTTATATATCCTTTATAATTTGTCCATTTCTGTTAGAATGGATGATGAACATGTTATTAGACTTAATAAGGAATGACAACTCTCCACCTTCACTGGTCCATTTGAGCTTCAAGCTTCTCTTCATCATGTGCAATGTGAGTTAAAAACAATAACTCCATTACCAATTGACTGTTTGTTATCTGAGATTAGTTCAAACTGCAAGAAGTTGAATGCTTGAATAATTTTGAACCTCTGGTTGGTTGGTATTACTTTGTTTCTGGTTAGGTCAGAGGCTATAAAATCTTCATGCAGCTTTTGCCACACGAGGTGTCCGATGTTCAGCCAGTTCTGGATCTGATGTCCAGACAGGATCCCAATGATTTAAAGGTGAGTTTGGAAGATTGTACTTTTTCTATAAAGGAATATTGGTTCAAACATTTTAAGCAATTGGATCTAGACTTTTTACTGTCTTAAAATGTTTGTTTCAGACAGTGATTTATCTTAGTTTTAAAGTCAGCTGTAAGAAACACATCTTTTATGTAAAAACTAAAATATGACTGCATATGAATATACTGAATATGATTCTGTAAGTTTCATTCAGCTTTTTTATGTAGATGAATGAAAACCTAATATTCATATACATTATCACTGATTAATAATTGGATTGTAAAGTAATTAGTAATTATTGTCAAATTTAAGAAAAAATGTTGGTTAATTTTTGTGTTTAGTACATTTTTTTGACCACTGGATGGCGGTATAAGATTGTTTGAACCAAAGGATGGATAGTGAGGGAGCGAGCATAACGTCTCTTAGAGAAATGGGAGGGAGGCCCCTTGACATGACATGGACTGGCTCTCGTTCCTGTTTTTCGGTTCTCAAAATGGCGTATGCTCGGTGTGGTTTAAGTTTTTAATAAAAAAAATTAGTAAACAAGTTCTCAGTTTCTTTTTGCAGAGGAAAACAACTTTTTAGACGAAGGCACAGGTTTCATCTGTGAATTTTGGAGCTTTGACAAGACGGAGGTTTCCCCGACCCCGATGTCTGCCTGTTAGCTTAGCTTGTAGCTTATCTTCTCAGCTTAGCTGTTTTATCCAAAACCACTATTGTGGACGTTTTAAACAGATTTTAAAGAGAAAGGAGAAAGGGAGGGGTCAGTGAAGAGCACCGGAGTTGAGCTTTTTGTCATCCAGTGTCTTCAGTAGAAAGAGAGAGACGCGAAAAAATGATAAAGCTGATAAATTAAAATGAGGCTGATAATTTTCATTTATTGTTTATCTCGACAGGCCTAACCACTGATACTTACATGCATTTGCGCCTCTCTTGTTTAGTGTGTAGTGTTCAAAGATTGAAAGTGTTTCATGCTCAATTTATTTCAGACTTGGCAAACACGCTACATGTTGCTGTTGTGGCTGTCTATGACCTGCCTCATACCCTTTGACCTTTCTCGTTTGGACGGCCATCTCGAGTCAAATGGAGGTAAAACTAGAGAGCCCACCATGTATCAAATTCTCAATATTGCAAAGGTAAGTGAGATATGAATCCTGGAACTTGATGTAGCAGAGAACATTGTCTATCTAGCTGTATAATTATTTCTTTTTATGGACAGTCAAAAACAAATAAATAGCCTGAACAAAAGTTCGGCAGTTACATTTCTGTAATTAAAAACGACTGCGTTTTTTTAGTTTAGGCAATTATGACATATTATGAGATGTCATAATTGCCTAAGCTGAAATATTTGATATATATTTTAAATGGTTTTGAAGTTTTTAGCCCTCATATATAAATTAATGAAATAACAATAAGAACATTATATTCTTTTCGTACTCACTATTTGACAATTGACTAGAGCTTTTTTTGTTGTTGTCAATTTGTTGCATGACTTTCTTCTGCTATGGTTTAATGGTAACTTGGTGGGACAAAAGCTTCACCAACTGTTAGTAAGACTTAGCTTCTTCTAAATAACCCTTAAAAGGATTGTTTTAGTTTCAGTAAACATAAAAAAGTTAAAAAGAACAACCTGATTTACTAATTACCGGTAAACAAATTTATAAAGGAACACATATTATATGGTGATTTTAATTTGATGTAATGTTTATTGAATGTTGTGTTTTTAGAGCATAAATATACTGGTAATTTTTGTCGACAGTCTTATCTACTTGTGGATGACAGTCCCAGGACTGCTGCATCTGTACTTGTATCAAAGTAAGTGCAATTATTTAGTGTAACTTAATTATCATAGTTGATCATAAGCTGGTTTTTAACATTAAGGCATATTGTAGGTTTAACTGCCATAATAAAGTAGGATTCAAAAAATGTCCATTTTCAAAAGCACTGCAGTATTTTAGCCAAATTATTCCTGTGGTTTAAACTATTTTTAATGAGAAGTCAGAAATAGTACAGGGCCTTTTCCTTTAGTAAAAAAACAACTATATGTGTGTCTGCATTATAAAAAAATAACAAAAAATATATATTACACAATGTTATTATAGCCATAAATAGCTACAGTAATATATGGAAATATGTGATTTTGCCGTGGAAGCAGAAGTAATATTATTAGAACATGATTTTTAAATAAAATCAATGGACTTGTGTGTTACATTTTTAAAATTTGTATTTTAATACTGCATTATTGTTATACTCTAGTTGTCTATTTAGATTTATCATCCGTTCAGAATCTTGTACTGGTCCATGCCTAATAATAAAGGGAGTGTTTTTTTCACTTCTTTACAGCTAAACTTGAGAAAATTATTTTAATACAAATTTCACTTTTTAATTAAAACGCGGAGCTGCAGAATATAAATACTTTTTAAATTGTATAAGCAGAATAATTGTCAAACGAGCGGCTGTCTGTGTCACATCGGAACCTTGTCCAATACTGGATCACGCAAAAAACATCTTACTGATGCTGAGCAATGATGACAATCTGACTTCCCCCACTAGAATGTCTAAAAAGGATTTTCAGACCAAGTTGAGACTAGTTCAGTAAATGGTCGTGTTTGGATATAAAGACAGCTCTTAGTGAACAATTTCTCATAAATCACAATCACCTGAAGCCTTGTTTAAAAAAAAATATATATATATGAAAAGTCCCCCAGATGATCAAGCGAAAAACTGATAAGGTTATACTGAAAATAATTTTTTGTCTGTTGTGGCTAAATGAGGTTTAAGATAAGTCAGAGAGTCAGAGAGATTTATTTGTCATCCGCACCACATGTGGTACATGTGGTGGAACGAGATTATGTACACTGGGTCCCAGTTACATCCAACAATAAAATGTACAAGAAAAACAGTAATAAGATCTAAGATATGAACTAAGAAAAACATCAGCTAAATAATACACTAAGCACTAATAGCATAAAAACATTACGTCGAACAGCAGCATGAACATGAGTCTGTGTGAGCAGATGAGCACGCATGAACACAGCAACATGAAACAGATCAGCAGCAACATGAAACAGATCAGCAGCAACATGAAATGGATCAGCAGCAACATGATGTGATTTTCCACAGTGATTATTCTGGTTAGAGATTCATGAGTCTAACAGCTTCAGGGTAGAAGCTGTTCCTCAGTCTAGTGGTTCTACACTTAATGCTCCTTAACCTCCTTCCTGAGGGTAGCGGGGCAAAAAGTGTGTACGCTGGGTGAGTGGGGTCCTTCATGATGCAGGTGGCCCTCTTCCTGCATCTAGAGGTGTAAATGTCTGTGATGGTGGGGAGAATGACTCCAACAGACTTCTGTGCAGCCTTCACCACTCTCTGCAAAGCTTTTCTATCTTAAATCTGGGTATTTGTATCAAAGCACTTATTTATTTTGGCTTATTTAAAAATTATATTGACAAATAATTTACAGTATGTGGGCTGTGGTAGCTTGGCCTGTCAGTGCTGCGGCTGTGGGTTCAAGCCCAGGTTAGGTCAGGAAGGACCTCCAGAGTAAAACAATTGTGATTTGAATCCTAGAAAAGAACAGCCCAAAGAAAAACAACATTACTGATCATTAATTAATGTGGCCTGTGTTTGTTTTAACTAAGTTGTAAAACCTGGTGGAACAAGATCTATATTTTTATGATGCCCTTGTGTGTAAAACATTAAATATTGCCATGAGTGTGAAGTCTTGTCTTTTTAACTACATTTTGGTACATTGTAGAATTATATCCATTGAGCTAATGGAAAAACAAATAAGTGAAGAAAAAAAAAAAACCAACAAAAAAACAACACAAATCTTCATATGAATTATTATTAAATTTGTCACTTTAATTATTTAAACTTATAATAAACTAAAATCTAACATATATTTATTTGTAATATAGCTTGTTGTATAATTATCGTTTTTAGCCACTAGAAGGCGATGTTGCTCTTGTATTGACTTGTTTCTCAGTTTGTTTCTTTTGTAAAATCTTTTGACGTTTGTCTTGTCCTGTACGTGTTTGTACAGGTTTATGACACGGCCTGATGTGAAACAGAAATGCCTTGGAGACTTTCTGGATTGGAGTCTCACCATAATATCGCAGACCAGCGGCTCCTCAGTGAGAGACGCTAGGGTGCTGGACGGCGCTCTGCAGTCTTTGGTAAACATTTACACCTGTGAAAAAACACGCATACCTGAATGTTTGTGTGTTTAAAGACAGCCGTGTGTACGTGCTCCATTTGATTAGACCTGGAGAGGGTAATTTACAAGAGCTGACATGACTGGTATGTTTTACACAATACTGAGTGCGGTTTTAACAGGTGTGTAATGCACCTGCTGCCTGTGTGGAACCTGTTGCTTCAAGTGACTTGAGACAGTTTAATCCACTGCTTTAGGCTAAACGGTTTTTCAGTAGTTGAGAGCAGCGCTGAGGGAAATGGGATTTGATTAAATTCATTTTTTCCCCCTTAATACCTTACACAATACTTCACTTCAGTTACCTTTTAATAAACAGATATTTTCTAAGCTCTTTGTTTTATGATCTAAGATAATCTAAGGAAACTATCCTTCAAGGACATTAAATTCATTGGCACATAAACTTGCATGACATGTTTGGAAAGCATCTCTTTGTATTTATTAATATCTTTATAATAAAACATTGAGCCTAGCTGTTGCTTTGCCTTCTCCAAAATGGCTTTGTGGGTTCTGTCACCAGGACTTGCATACTTTTGTGTAAACGAAGAACAAAAGAGTATAAAGAACCTAAAATCAAATTATAAAAGTCACAGACACATTGCATCAAACGTAATTACTGTTTAAACTGTGACATGTTCAAGTGTTGGGCATTCATTGTTTTTTTGCTGATGTCTTCTAGGCAAAGCTTTTTAAACATGGGAAACGAGACGACCTATTACGATATGGTACGTTCCATTTTTTTCTTTTCAAATTCATCTGCTGTGTGGTTTTGTAGAAATATATCCTGAAACACAAAGTTTGTTTTCTCAGTCATCCAGGTATATAACAACAAAA